CAGTTTTCTTTTGTTTGTTTGTTTGTTTGTTTGTTTAATACCACCACTAAGGGTAAGAATTTTGTCCTTTCACTCTTATTATCTTTTGAGTGTCCATGAAACTTTCCAGAGGCTACACAACTTCTGATATAATCACAGATTGGATACAGAAGCAGATATGAATCCAGCTGCCTTCTGTTAAGCTGAACATTAAAGAGATTTAGAAAACTATAAAACAGGGGCACCTGGGTGGCTTAGTCAGTTAAGCATCTGACTCTTGATTTCAGCTCTCATGGTTTGTGGCTTTGAGCCCTGCGCTGGGCTCCACACTGCAGTGCAGAGCCTGCTTGGGATTTTCTCTCTTTCCTTATCTTTCTGCCCCTCCTCTGCTCTCTCTCAAAATAAATAAACTTAAAGACAAACAAACAAACAAACCCATACTTAAAAAACAAAAGAAAACCGTAAAACAGTGCTACCTGACACGCAGTGGTTATTTCAAGGAAATGTACCTTATGTGACTGAGTTACAAGCTGACCTAGTTGCTTTCTCCATGGAACACTATATTCACTTGAAAGAAAATTAACAATCCAAATATGGTTATCCAGACATTATGGCTATGACAGGCATTTTCTGAAAAATGAAGTATGTCATTTTGAAGGAAAACAGACAAAATTTGTATCCAATGATAAAAGCAAATTTTATTAAAATTTTTAAAAATACATATTATTAATTTTAAAAATTAAAAATTAATTTTAATGACTTTTATTATTAAAAACATTTTAAATAGGCTTCATGCCCAGCACAGAGCCAACATGGGGCTTGAACTCATGATCCTGAGATCAAGACTTGAGCTGAAATCAAGAGTTGGATACACTTAATCGACTGAGCCACCCAAGGGCCCCATTAAAAGCAAATTTAAGGAAAGAGTGTGCAATGGAAAAAAGACAGTCTCTTTAGCAAATGGTGCTGGGAGAACTGGACAGCAACATGCAGAAGAATGAAACTAGACCACTTTCTTACACGATACACAAAAATAAACTCAAAATGGATGAAAGACCTCAATGTGAGACAGGAAACCATCAAAACCCTAGAGGAGAAAGCAGGCAACAACCTCGATCTCAGCTGCGGCAATTTCTTGCTCAACACATCTCCAAAGGCAAGGGAATTAAAAACAAAAATGAACTATTGGTACCTCCTGAAGATAAAAAGCTTCTGCACTGCAAAGGAAACAATCAACAAAACTAAAAGGCAACCGACGGAATGGGAAAAGATATTCGCAAATGACATATCGGATAAAGGGTTGGTATCCAAAATCTATAAAGAATTTAACAAACTCAACACCCGAAAAACAAATAATCCAGTGAAGAAATGGCCAGAAGACACAAATAGACACTCTTCCAAAGAAGACATCCAGATGGCCAACAGACACATGAAAAGACGCTCAACGTCACTCATCATCAGGGAAATACAAATCAAAACCACACTGAGATACCACCTCACATCAGTCAGAGTGGCTAAAATTAACAACTTAGGAAACAACAGAAGCTGGCAAGGATGTGGAGAAAAGGGAACCCTCCTGCACTGTCAGTGGGAATGCAAACTGTTGCAGCCACTCTGGAAAACAGTATGGAGGTTCCTCAAAAAATTAAAAATAGAACTACCCTACAACCCAACAATAGCACTACTAGGAATTTATCCAAAGGATACAGGAATGCTGATGCATAGGGGCACGTGTACCCCAATGTTATAACAGCACTTTCAACAATAGCCAAAGTATGGAAAGAGGCCAAATGCCCATCAACTAATGAATGGATAAAGAAGATGTGGTTGATATATACAATGGAATACTACTTGGCAATGAGAAAGGATGAAATCCTGCCATTTGCAGCAACAAGGATGGAGCTGGAAGGTATTATGTTGAGTGAAGTCAGTCAGAGAAAAACAGGTATCATATGTTTTCACTTATATGTGGATCCTGAGAAACTTAAGAGAAGACCATGGAGGAAGGGAAGGGAAGGGGAAAAAAATAGTTACAAACAGAGAGGGAGGGACGCAAACCAGAAGAGACTCTTAAATACAGAGAATAAGCTGAAGGTTGATGAGGGCGTGGGGGAGAGGGGAAAGTGGGTGATGGGCATTGAGGAGGGCACTTGCTGGGATGAGCACTAGGTGCTGTATGTAAGCGACGAACCATGGGAATCTACCACCCTCTGTAAAGAGCACACTTTACACACTGTATGTTAGACAATTTGACAATAAATTTTATTTAAAAAAATAAAGCAAATTTAAAATTTTAAAATTTGTTTTTAAGCAAAATTAGAATTTTTAAAAACTTTTATCTGCCACTGTGATCTTGACTTCTATCTGCCACTTGTGATACTTAAAAGAGTTTTCTAATGAAATTGATAGGGATGTTAACAAAGATGGGGGATTTGGGGTATTGTATAATAAAATGTCAACATTTGGAAGATATGCAGAACTCAGGAAACTAGTAATTTTCAAGTGGTTGATACATGGGTAAAAAAAACCATGCATGGGTAAAAGATCCACTCAAATAGCAGATAGAACAATGGATTTTAATGTAACAGAAAATATTAGCTGATATGGTTTGAGTCTATAATGTAATCAATCACTTTTAAGAAACAACCACTTGTCAATTTGGGATATGAGACCAGATCAAAAAAGACCATGTGCAAGTATCTGAAAAGGCTATTAAAATACTATTCTCCTTTCCAGAAACATATCTATGTGAGGTCCAATATTCTTCATATATTTCACAGAAAACAACATGTCACAAGGGACCAAACAGAGAAGCAGATAGGAGAATCTAGCTGTCTTCCACAAAGCCTGACGTTAAAGAAACTTTAGAAATGCAAAACTAAAGAAAAATATATTTTTTTAAACCTTTATAAAAACTTACTTGCATATCTAAATGAACATTTAAAATAATTATTCTAGGAGGTGAACCATTCTATTATCTTTCAATCTCCTAAATGTGTTATTAGATACATATTTAAGTAAATTAAAATGAATTAAATTAATACTGCTTCTTTACTGTACATCATACTTTTAAACCACATGTCTCGCGGTATCATCAAACAATAACTTGTACTCACTGGTACAGAAAATAAAATTAGATATATGAAATACTGTTTAATTTTGGAAGAAATGAATATGAATATTTATGCTACAGCCATATACCATTACTATTTACTTCATAGATCAACAAAAGGTTTTTCAGCATCTATATGAAGAAAACAATAATAAACTATAATAAATCTGAACTCCAGTAATGGGTCATCACTTATCTCTACTGACTTCAAAATAACAGAAACAAAGTATTCTCATCAAAATAAATTCTATATTTTTCCAGTATTAGTTTTAAATATTTATTAATTGCATTCCAAATATTGTTTATAACATATATAAATAATATAAAAGTAATACTCATGCCCAGCTTCAAAAGTAGAACATTAATATGACCTTTAAGGCTCCCTGTGAACTAACCCATCTTTTGCCAAAAGAGCCACTCTCCTGATTTTGCATTTATCTTCCCTTGCTTTTCTCCAGCATTAACTTTTCATCTATTGGAGGCAAAAGTTTAAGAAAGAAACCATAATGTTGGAATTAGTGTCAAAAGGAGTAGAGAGGAAGACATGTGAAATGCAATACTAGGTGCTAGAACTCTTGGAACTTACGCACCAATTAGGCATATTCAATGATGAAGAAGGAGGATTTCAGGATGAACCCTAGACTTAGTACTGCAAGAATAATTACAGATGCAATCAACTTGGATTTAAAATAGTTTAAGAAAAATAAATTAGGAATTTTTTTAGATCACTCTTTATTTTTGTTGAAGATAGAAATAATGACTTCAATAGTACTTTAAAGTACTGAAAATAGTACTTTAAAATACTGAAAGACAAAGACCATTTTTATATATTTTTATGGGAAAACAAACAGAAATCAGAATTTTAAGATAGCTTTGAAAAGATAAAAACTACTCAAATTAATCAATGAACACCCCAAGTAAGCAGGAATCCAAGTTCCTAGAATTAAAGGCATAGCACCAGATCATTCTAAAATGGCCATCCTGGATTAACAGGAGTGGATTTTGAATTAGGTCTTTTCCCCTCACTTTTCATTTTCAGCTCCTACCATTTTGTTAAGTTTATTTGTCACCTCATAATCTGAAACAGCTTAGATGGGAAGGTACGATAAAAAATTCTAGGGGCACCTGGGTGGCTCAGTTGGTTGAGCATCAGACTTTGGCTCGGGTCATGATCTCACAGCTCGTGGGTTTGAGCCCTGTGTCAGGCTCTGTGCTGACAGCATGGAGCCTGGAGCCTACTTCCGATTCGGTGTCTCCCTCTCTCCCTTCCCCTCCCCCTCTTGTACTCGGTGTCTCTCTCAAAAATAAATATTTTTAAGATTTCTATAAAGATTTGGAAAAAATAAATGAATTAACATTTGCTTTATACTAGTGTATAATTATGCACTTCTTTAATCCAAAGCTGTAAATCCAAGCCATCGTATTCACTAAGAAAATGCTTTATGTATATATGTATCAACACACAAAGTGAATACAATTTTAGTTAAGAATAAAATATACATCATTTGTGAAAACTGATATATATAGTCAAATAAGGGGCCAAAATAGTGAAAAAGCAAGGACATTAAAAGCATATTTTTCCAGAGGAAATTAAAATAAGACGAATGCTGAAAGTAAGAGTAGAGGTGACAGAGACATGAGAAAAAAGATCAATACACAGTTACATTTCCAGGCTAACATAGTTAAAAACTATATTATATTCAATACTCATTTCTATTTATCCCTATGAAATAGATTTGTTCATGTACCAGTAGCTGAAGAACCAGGTATAGAAGTTCACCTGTTCACCACGAATTCTTCTGCTACTACTGTGGACAGACATGAGAAAAGACTACAAATCATCTGGAAAAGGAAGTGTACACCCACACCCCTATCATAATACAGATGGATGAAAAGTCTGAGAACTTGCCTCTTTCTCAGTGTCTCTAGAGATACATGTCCACTGGTTCTCCTTCACACTGTACGCCCAGAAGTCAGCAAGATCTTGAGTTCCATCCCAGCCACCAAACAAATAAACGGTCTCTATGAAAATTAGAAAAAATATGTATAAAAAAAACTTAACGATAAAATTTAAGTAAAGGCACCCAGATCTAGCCTTTGTTTCTAAGATCATTTAAGGCATATCTAAATAAACTTAAAAATGAAATTTGTAAATGCATGGCATTCCAAAATATACCCTAGACTAGTATCTCCTAAACATGGGTATATGGAAAGGCTGCTGTAGGACCACCATTTCGAGAGACTTATAAAAGTACAAATAACTAAGAGACATCCTCAAGATTCTGATTTCATAGGTCTTCAGTGGGTAAGAAGAGTCTGCATTTTTTAAAGTTTCCAGGGTGAATCTGATGTGCAGCCAGTTTAGGACTCTCTGTGTTAGGTTGTGGAAAGTTCACATTTGGCAGTTTCTTAGCAATGCAGCTTCACATCGTTTAAAAAAAAAAAAAAAAAAAAAAAAAAAAGGAACCCTAAGGGAAAAGATGGCCTAAAATACAACATAAAGACATCTCGCAACTTCTGGAAACAAACAAACAAACAACCCTTCACATTAAAACTATTTCCCTCTATCGCAATATCAAAAACAATGGTTAAAACTAGCTGTGAGTTAGTTAGACACCTTAAGAATAAGGTGATGTACAGCCTTGGCATTCCAATGGAAAATGGGGAAATTTCTTCCAAATATACAATGGTAGGGGTAACTCCTCAGAAATCAACCTTTAAGTCATTCTAGGTATCTTGAGAACTTGGTTTCTTTTAACTCTGAAATGTCTATTATACCCATGGACTGCTGCACTGCAACAAAATAGATTTCTTGCCCAGTGGGTAGTGAAAATCTTTACACATAACACCATGTCCCATCCACATCCTTCTTTATAATAGTGCCTTTCTTTTCTTCAAATATAACCCCCTTTTAAATGACTCTGTCTACTTGTTACACAAGTCCCACCAATTTATTTATTTATTTTTTTAAGTTATGGCATTTCTTTCCTTTTTTTTAAGTAAACTCTATGCCAACGTGGGGCTCAAAGTCACCACCCCAAGGTCAAGAGTCACATGCTCTACCAACTGAGCCAGCCAGGTACCCCCCTTTTTTAAAAAGTTAAATAAGACATACAGGAACACTATAAAACCACCTACTACCTAACTGACACGCCCTAGGCCTACATATGTGGAGGCTGGCATCTAAGTTATGTCCTACCATGAAGGGTTACAATTCAAAGTGCACTTCGAAATACTGTGACACCATTAAGAAAATTCTTGCCACTCACAGAGCTAGGCTTTTGTCTAAGAAATTTTTATCATATTTTCATATAATTTCAAACCCTAAGTGAATTTTCTAAGTGAAATGCCCCATTCTATGCCCCAAGAAGCTAGGGAAATCAAAACAATGCTTCTGGGTAGGAACATACCATTGGGACAGGACCGAGTTCTAGTGCTAACTGGGTAGTCAAATCAAGTACAGGCCACAGAATCTCCCTGGGTCTTAGTTTTTTCACTTACAAAACTCTCAGTGTTGTGGTATATAGTTCTTCAGATGTAAGTTACACAAAAACATTCTGAAGTCTATCAAGCATGAACAGCATTTTTACCTCTAAGACATGCACAAAAATAAAAAATCCTCTGTGGTTACTAAGTGCCACAGATGCAATAAAAACAGCATTATTGTATCTGATTTCATGTCTAACTCAGTACCTAGAACACTCTGGCTCTGTACAAATGTGAAATAATGGCAATTATTTTAAACTGTTAAAAAATAATATCTCAGAACTATACAACAATCCATTTTCATTAGTTAAGTAACATTCTGTTTCCCAAATGACATGCGGTGATGCCCAGATACTTCAAGTTTTACAAGAATAAAAAAATTAAAGAATTTTCATCTGCCTTAAAAATTATTTGCCAAGGCTTCACTGTAAATGCAATTAACCCTGATAAATTCTGAGGCCAGGAGAGGGAGGCGATATATAACTAAAATAGCAATAGCAATTGACCTTTTGTTTTACAGTGTTTCTGGGTACCCTTTGGATAAGGTTACCCTGGTTCATTAACTTTAATAACCCTTCCTCTTGGGCTCTGGGTTCTCAATGTTCTTTCTGAAAAGCAGGTCTCTTTGTACGCATAAATTCTCACAGCAAAGAAAACCCACATTTCCACAACAGCCTCATTGATAGCTGAGCAAAATAAAATCTGGCAGAGAGCAAGCATCCCAATGGAATTAATCCAAGATGTCATTCTTGTCTGTGAATGCTTTGTAGTCCCAGTTGAAGTTTAATAGTAAAATTGAATGAGTCGGATGGAAGCAGGACCTTTTGACATACCTGAATGAAATGCATGACAAATTTTTAATTAAATCATCTCATCATTTAAATCATTCAGAGATGAAATATTATCTAGAAATAAACACGAGCAAAAGTATTAATTAATGAGTAAAGGATATCAAAAACTTTTAAAGATTATAGAAATCACTGGAGAGAACTGTAGGGAGAAGGAAACAGAAAAAACATTATTCGCAACGGGGTCCAGTCTCATGCTTATAGGTTATGTAACAATTCACGTACATCCCTGGGCAGTACAGTCCTCCTCAAGCAGCAGCTCTTTCTCTATATTTTTTTCTTAAAGGAGCACAGGCTATTGTGGCTATCCATTTCTCCCAGCACGCAGAGGATCTTGCTTGGGATCCTGTCTCCCTCTCTCTCTGCCCCTCCCCCTGCTCACACTAGCACGTGCTCTCTCTCAAATAAACATTAAAAAAAAAAAAAGAATATAAAACAGGCACATAAGTCACCATAACGCAGGGCAGCCTAAGTGCCATAAGAAAGGTAAAAAGCACCATGGGGAGCTCAAAAGAGGGAAGAGAGTATACCTGGTGGAAGGGACTCAGGAAAGGTTTCATGGTGGCAGTGGCATGTGACCTATCCAGCAGAAGATGGCTTTGGTGGCAGAATGGGAAACGGAGAGGAGGACTTTTCAAGCAGAGTAAAAAGTATAACAAAGGTACAGAGACAGAAAAACACATGAGAAGTATCTTAAAGCACATGGATTCTAAAGTCAGGCAGATCTCAGATAGAATTAAAGCTCTACCACTGTCGGTCTCCTTACATCCAAAACAGCACACAGCACCTAGTTTATAAAGCTACTGTGAGAGTTAAATTAAATAATGCATGCAAAGTGGTTAACACTGTGTGATGAATAAACGCACTGTTCGATTTAAAAGAACACAAAAGGTTAAAAAGACAGGTAGTGGCCAGATCGTGGAAGGGGTTAAATAACAACATAAAGGCTCCGAACTCAACTCCACAGACCATACAGTAGCTTCAGAAGATCCTAAGCAGACATGCAACTAGGCCAATTCTGAACGTGAAGCATGATAGGACTTGATCAAGAAGGAGAAGCCGGCAAAAGAGAGGGATTGGAAGTAAAGTGACCAATAACAGCCTAAGTTCAAGATGTCAAACCAATTTCATTCTAAGAGACTGAATCAATGATCAATCAATCAATCTGTTGTTACTGAGGCCACAAAAACTAAAATTCAACCACATTCTTAAGCACAAATCTTTTTGGCACCAGTACTAAATAAACCCTATAATTACTTACTACTAGCAGTACTCGTATACACATCTTATTTACACTAAAAATAAGGTAGAAATGTTAACACATCAGTGTCTTAACACCATTCTGCACAAAGAGGCAGGCTTTTTATCTTATGAGCCCGACTGCAGTACCTATCCTCCTACTAATTCCTCTGGGTAAATCTGACTTTACTGTCTGAAAAATCCTCCACAAGATGGCACACTATTTTCGTAATTAGATCCATGCTTCCACTTTGAAACTGTATGGAATACACATACACTCACATAGCATGGGCCCAACCTTAAATAAAATTTATGTGCCAAAAAGAAGAAGGTAGGAGAAGAGTTAACAAGATAGTAAAGGAAGTTACTTTAATTCTTAGTTCAATTAATAATATAGACAATGAGAAAAACAAATGAAATTAAAAAAAAGTTTTAAGAAACACAAATTTATAGTCAAGATAAAAATGAAACCCTGTCAGGGCATTTAATTCAAGAGTTTAATCCTTCTGAAAACGCAGTTAGTAAGACCTTAAATTAACTTGAAAATTTTGAAGAGAGGAATACATGAGAAGGGGAAAGCTGTTTTACATATTCTTCAACCTTGTCTTCTTTAGCCGTTCCCTTGAACTCTCATGACCCAACAAATTATCAACTGGATTTATCTGCCTCCCTTTTTAAATAGAACCATATTCTTACTATAGCTATAATTACAAAACTATCTTGTGACTGATCCTTTGGTTAAATTCAACATACACTTTCCCTGCTAAAAGGCTGTATTTTCAGTATATATATTTGAATATATTTTGTATCCTTAATTAAGGCTGGATTTCCAGGGTGTCTGGGTGGCTCAGTCAGTTGAGCATCCAACTTCAGCTTAGGTCATGATCTCATGGTCCAGTCCATGGGTTCGAGCCCCGTATCAGGCTCTGTGCTAACAGCTCAAAGCCTGGAGCCTGCTTCAGATTCTGTGTCTCCCTCTCTCTCTCTGCCCCTCCCCTGCTCATACTCTGGCTGTCTCTCTCTCTCTCTCTCTCTCAAAAATAAATAAACATTAAAAAAAATTTTTTTTAAAGGCTGGATTTCCAGAATTCTTTTCTGGTAACTGTATAAAAGAAAAAACACTCATGACATAGCTAAAGAAATATAGCCAAATGAATGTATTTGTAATTCACAACTAAAACTCATATTCACCTATTGCCTTCAAAAGTTTCTTTAAGGAATTTAAGGAAAATCTATATATGGCATTGTGGAAAGAAAGAAAAGAAAAAAGAAAAAAGAAAAAAGGAAGGGTGGAGGGAGGAAGAGAGAAAGAAAGACAAAGAGGGAGGGAGGGAGAGAGGGAAGGAAGAACAAACGAACTTTCATATAATTAGTACAGAATAGTCAAAGGTTCAGATTTCCACAAAAGGGCTCTACCAAGTGACAAGCAACACCCCTTTAATTTCTTTT